CAGTGAAGACAATAATGATGTGTATTTGTCGTTGTACCGAAATTATGCAAACTGACGTAAACCCGCTACTCCTCACAGACGTTTTTTTGTTTATTATAAATCCGGAATGTGTACTACGCAATGTGTAGGAATAAACACATTTGGAAAGATGCCTTCGGAAATTGCAGCTTATCTGGGCTTACCAAATCACGAGCTTTATACTGGGCATAGCTTTCGTCGCACCTCAGTAACTATCCTATAGCTGATTCAGGAGAAGGTATAACGAATATAAAGCGACATGGAGGCTGGAAGTCAACGGCAGTTGCCGAGGGATACTTGGAAGACTCATTGGAAAACAAAAAGGCAATTTCCAAAAAAATTCTGCCTCACACTTCTACAAGTCAAGCTTGTGCTGCTTCTTCATCCAATTCACATTCCACCACAAACTCAGCTTCTTTCTTGAGCTTTGATGGAGCTGATGACGTTGCAGATTCTATCGTAGAAAAAACCACTGACAGTAGAAACTTTGGAGAGGACTCTGATTCTGATGGTCAACACCATCATCATGTATTCAAAAGTCAAATGGCATCAGCAATAAATTTACAATCTGCAGACAATTGCACCTTCACTATTAATATTGTTAATAATAAATAAAAAAAAATAATGTTAATTTCTCAATATAGCTTCATATTTGTTCTATTTTTGTGTTTTAATTGTCTGCTCGTAGGAAAAATTGTGGAAAGTAATTTTTCCGCACTCGATTGTTATGCGAACTCCGCGAACTCCACGACAATCGCGTGCGGAAAAATGATACTTTCCGCACTTGTTAGGAAAATAACTATTTCCTACAGCCGTGCGGAAAAATCGATTTTCCGCACTGATATGCGTGCGGAAAATGAATTTTCCCGCACAGTGCGGAAAAAGTTTTTCCGCACGGCTGTCAAAAAAAAAAAATACATTTTTTCGCTTGTAGGAAAAATATTGTACCTAACACTTGCGGAAAATATTTTTCCGCACTTGTTAGGTAAATAGCTATTACAATAACGTGGTAACCTTGTCGGGCAATTTTCACGGGGCATATGCGCAGTCGGATGCGCTAAAGATGTCAATTTCCTGCACCAGTTTTATTTACAACCATTTTTCCGACAAAAATAGGGGGGTCTAAGTAATTATATTCTAAATCAAAAAATCTAAGTGTCGGACAAAAATATTGGGGCATATCGACAGTCGGACAAAAAATGTAATTTTTATTGGTAATCGATATTTCTTAACTATACTGGGTTCAGGTATCCCTTTTTTACAAATATTTTTCCGACAAAAGTAGAAGGTTACCAGTAATTGAATTCTTAAATAAAAAATGTATTTGTCTGACAAAAATGTTGGGGCAAACATAAAAGAAATTTAATTCTTATAGGCTATCGACGTTCTTAAATTATAAGGATGAGTTAATGCTTATATTACTTTATATAACCATATAAGTACCTACATATAAAGAAAAAATACATAAAATATTATCATTAATAGTATATTTTTATATAAGGAGTAGAAGCTTTACTTTTTTGTGCTGAAGCAGTAGGTTTGCGAGCCGAACGCAGTGAGGCTTGCAATACTGCTGAAGCACAAAAAAGTGCTTCTACTCCGTATGCAACACGCTATTTTTTCTCCAACGAATGGAGTAAGCTCGGGGGTAACTGGATGGTTAAGCGACAGTAAAAGTACGAGCGGCACTAAAAGTACTTTTGCTGCCGCTCCAGCGGCACTAAAAGTACTTCTACTGCCGGTGCGGTTGCCTAGCAGCATAGAAATTGAATATCTACCACCTCGACAGGTGCTAACCTGCTGGATTTGCCTAGCAGCATAGAAATTAAGTTTCTGACACCTTGACAGGCGTTAACAAAGTGACGTTTTTTTGACGTTTGGAGAAAAATATTATTTATTATTAAATAAATATGGTGAAAATAATATTATTCAATAACTTATTTATTGAATAATATTATTTTCACCATATTTATTTAATAATAAATTAATACTAATACATGTCAGCATTGGACTTATATTATTAATTTTCACCCTTTGTTATTCGTTTTCATAAAAAAAAATGCAGCAAAAATTTAAAGTCAAGCGATGCGTTCGCTGAAGCACACTCGAAAATACGGCAACGCTGGTTGCTTTTGCCTTAACATTGATACGGTGACGAATCACCAAAAAACTGGGAACGCGAAAAATTGTATCAAAAAATAACGGAAAAGCACTAGTACGGAAAAGTGATACTTTCATGACCTAAAATGCGTGCGGAAAACTATACTTTTCCACACGCTCGTTTCACCAGCATCATTTGACATCAACTTTGAATTTAATCCATGATTAAAAATTCCGCTTAAATTTATAATCTTCGGTCAAATTTAAAGTTGGTTTCAAATGATAGCTTATGGAAATCTAAAATAGGAATGTAAAATCGGTTTTCCTCTAAAATTAATTTAGGTTTTACAGTCTGTCAAAGATGCAAAAAAGTCAATTTTAAACTATCAATACTTCCGAAACAGATAGGTATATGACATTGTACATGAAATATGTCTAGAATTTTCCGCAGAATCCAGAAATGTCATAATATACGGGGGCTTCATTTAAAAAAACACAACACAAACAGCCCTGTGTCACCACTACTTATTGGGCCACCCTGTAAACTGGAAAATAATTTAGGAATGTAGCACTCATGTTTATCTACAAGTTTTGTATTTACTTTTTTCTTCGATCTCGGTTAGTATAGGAGATAGGGACCACCGCGCTCTCAGTAACTCACCCTGTATAAAACATATAGGTGTGTGGGTATGTGTGTATGCATATATACTATAAATTATAGATGTAGACATTCTTGACTGGCTTGTTTAATAAGTGAGATGATTCTTGGGATTCAGTCTTGGCAAAAAACTAGTTTTTCACAAACGCCGAGCTTTCGGAAATTTTCCTTTTTCAAGGGTTTAAAATTAGTAAAATTATTTTAGAATCAGCCATTGTTGGAAAAATTATGGATTTGTTCTTTTCTTTTAACTGTTGCTCTAATCTTGGAATTTTGCGTCTGATAATTTTGAAAAGTGACGAAGTGAAAAATTACAAAAATTACCTACATTTTTTTAAATTGTATCAAAACGCCCCATTATTTTTGTCCGACAATTGATCCGATATGCGTGACACATGTAAAGAAACAGTAAAAAATAAAAATTGCATCTGTGGTTGTGAATAAAATTGTTGCAGGAAATTGACCATCTTTGGCGCATCCGACTGTGCATATGCCCCGTGAAAATTGTCCGACAAGGTTACCACGTTATTGTAAAATATTTTTATGGCAGATTCTGTTCAAATCAGCCGTGTGGTGATAAAAAAAAATTCCCATAAATTTGACATATTTAGCGTGTCCGACGCGATGAATGCCCCAATATTTTTGTCCGACACATTTTTTCAGCTGGATTTGTGAACTCAGTTGTCTACACCTCTCCTTAGCTCTGTCAAAAAATTGTCATAAGCCTGACCTTCCTTTTGTATCACAGAGTTAAATTTGAATATATCAGATATTTCCATTTCAACTTCTTTCTTGCTGAACAATATTCGTCAAATTCACCTTTGATGGCATCCAAGAAATTCTATTCTAACCAATGTCAATCCTCACCAGTAATAGTGAGTTGCCCGCCCACCACTAGGTGATGGCGCTACAATCTAGAATCTAGACGTACGTGAAACTTAGGGTCAGTACAACAACAAAATAAGCTAATGGCCGCAACAATCTAAGGCCGCAACCAGGTAGCAATAGCAAAGTTTAGCAATAGGTAACAACACTTTATGATACAAATGATACAATTTTTTTTTTCTATTTTGGTGTCATATCGAAGTCCGAGTCGAAGTCTTTTCGACACTGAAAGTAGTTTCGAAAAGAAGCTCTTTGTGACACTCCTTTTTTACTTATCGGAGGATGGTGACACTGGCTGACTGATGGCCATCGAACTGTCATTCGCAATTGACCTTTTGTTTCGACGCCATATTGCGGTGCGCGAACATAGTTGCCAAAACAAGAAAACCAAAAATTACTAGCGGGCTGTCAACTAGATATTTTATTATTTCTATTCGGCCCAATAAAAGCTACAATTGATGGCTTTTCTTTCCACAAACATTCGTAATAGGCGGCAAATTTAAATTTTAAATGTAATTTATTCACTAACTTTGGATTTTAAAGTTGACAGAACGCTAGTTATTTTTTTTTTCTACTGTTGGCAACTATGTTCGCGCACCGCAATATGGCGTCCAAACAAAAGGTCAATTAAAAATAATAGAAGATTTCTATATTTGGCATGTAGTGTTGCCACCCTAAATATATGAAATCAGGAAATATGAGAATAAAATTTCCAAGAAAGGTTTCTTTTTATTAAACAATACCAAAATAGAAAAAATAGTATAAAATATTCGTTTCATAAGACATTTTATCGCACTCGCCCCATAGGGCTCGTGCGATAAAATGACGTCTTATGAAACTTGTATTTTAATGTACTATTTTATTTCAAGCCAACTGTACTGAGCTTACAGTACAGTTCATTATTGGCTTCACAAAGTGATACAGCTCTTTATCGTATTTTACTCACACGTGCAACGAGGAAGAAAAAACAAAACAATTAGTTAAGAGAATTAAATGAACAAAAGACTCACTGAAAAAGATATTCGTATTTTTTTTTTCTGAAACTAACAAAGATAAACCTATTCTCATGTTTTCAAAATTACGACATGCACTGCGCTGCATCTATGATATACGCTTTCCATATATCTGAACATAATTTTGCTTCACCACCCATTTTTGATACCCCTCAGCTTGATTAAAAACTTTCATCAGACATTTTGATTTCATACTACTTTTACTTTTGAAGTTTCTGTCACAGAAAAAAATTTAGGCAAGTGCAGACATTTATAACAAATCGCCCTGTGCACATTGATGTTATTTAATTGTCACAAATTATTATTAATTGTATTTGTTCTTTCAGAGCCGGAAGACATCTACATTAAAGCTGAGGATTTGGAAAGTTTTACCGGAGAACCCGATATTGCAGATGTAGCAGTGGAAAAAGAAGGAATAGTTCCTGTAAGTCCATCTCTAGATGCTAAAGAACCAACGCAAATGGCTACACAGGGTATGGATCATTGATATGGAATAATTTATACATTATTTATTTATTTATTTATTTATTGACGGGTCAAGCCCATTTAAATTAATTAACAAAATGAACGAGTGAAACAAGTAAATGCAACCATTATCTTCGTAAAATTTCAGAAGACGGAACTGGAGGCGAAATGAGACCATTGGAATCTGTTGATACGATAATTGAACTTCCAGTCCGAAATTTGGATTTGGTTTTTGAAGATGAAAAAACTTTGAAGGAGGATCTAGAAAGACTCAGGGTAATGAATAAAAACCATTAATAATTATTGTATTTGATGTATGAAATGTTATTTTAGGCCATGCAACAAGAATTAGCAGGCGAAACCGACGAGGAGCTTGAAAAATTCAAATGTAGACTCATCGAAGAAATGCCTTTGGCCGAGTCTCAAGAAGAAGGCATCAAGCATTTTTCAATGGGCGAAGCATTACTTCTGGAACCATCAGGTGAAGAAAAACTCAAAATTGCAACCGAAATAACAGCACCTGGAAGCGAAACTCTGGTTGATGGTGAAGCCGCCCTAGAACAACAATACGATGATGTATTTGTAGAAGCCGTTCCTGGCATTGGTGGTACTGTTCCAGATAAATTAATAGGTGTCGTCGTTCAGTATATGACGAACTGTGCAAAAAATCAACGTGGAATGATTATGCCTAGAAATATACGTCATTATAGCTGTCCACCGTTAGAAGTGGTTCCAACGTGATTGGCCGTTTTGTAAAAATTAGATAGACTAATAAGCCATAGTTATGAGATATTATAAATAGAATCCTATTTATTGAAACGGTGCTTTGATTATTTACTCTTGAAATATTTTATTAATTACCTAATGAACACACAGTTACAGACGCTTATTTATTTATTGTTAGATTATGCTAGTAATGGTGGAAATGAATTAATTTAAGATGAAATTTATTTCTCCATTGGATATTTTGATACGTCTCGGGCATTGAGGGAGAAGAAAAAAGGAGACGATGTCATCATTTGAATAGTGCAATAGATAAGTGTATCGGTAGGCGTGGCTAGGGTACCAACAATATGTCTACCTAAACAGAGCCGAACTAAATGGATTCTTTATAATTTTTATCTAAAAACCTAGAAAATCTATACCTATATTACGCCAAGAAAGAAGAAGGTGCTACAGAAACTTCAACATACTAAAAACAGGAGATCCTTCCAAGACCCAAAATAAAAATTCGGCGATTCAAAAATTTTTCGCATCCAAAACCTCTCCTTAGCTCTGTCAAAAAATTGTCATAAGCCTGACCTTCCTGTTGTATCACAGAGTTAAATTTCCAAAACTTCTGCGGATGGAAAATGCGGCCCTGATACATTAAGGCCGAAATCCACTAGCAACACACCACCCCACACCACGCCATGTGACGACAATGTATGCGTATATTCTTCCATTTATTTACATATGCCGCGTACACACTTGCCACACGCGATACTACGCCATGGCACACCACGCCATGGGTGCGTTAAGTTGCCCCCCCCCCCCCCCCCAGTTGATATTTTTAATCAAAATGCTAGCACTGCAGGGTTGAAGCTAGCACAACCTAGCACAACCAGTGGTTGAGCTAGCACACCCACAGGAACTACGTAATCGGGGGCGGGGGGCAACTCAACGCTAGCCCCCCCTCCCAGTTGATATTTTTCATCCAAAATGCTAGCGCACCAAGGAGGAGTCTGGGGAACAGACAGGCGGAGCTCTGTAATTCGCGATAAGTGCTAGCTAGCCTTTGTTTGTATTTTAAACGAAACAGACCAAATCGAAACTAATCCAAACTAACCCATCATCTGGATAATCTTTAAAAAAAAAATGAAAACCCTAAAGAAAAAAAAAAAACCTGAAAAAAAAAAAAAAAAAATGCCTTCAAAGTGAATCGAACCCGGGACCATTATTTCTAAATAGTGTTGCAGGTCGCAAGAAATCTTGTCTTGCTTGGCTGTTTCTTCAAATTTTGTTCAACTCTGTAAAAGTGATGTTTTGTTGTAGAGCTTGTTTTTGAGGTATGTTTAGTTGTGGTAGGTACCTATGAGATTTTCAGGAAGCAATTGGCACATGAATGGGTTTACAAATAGAGGAATACTCGGAGGAATAATAAAAAAATAGTCCTACCAGGAGTCTTACACAATTTCAGATATTGGTAAAAGATCCAAGAGCTAGTAAAAGAAATGCTAATCGCCAGATACCTAAATTGAATGCTCTACTGCATTGGTGGATATTATTATTGTACTAATATGCAAGAACACAAAGGAAAAATTCTAATTTTAGCACTTTCCACCTTTTGTAAATAAATTTTAATAATCATTATTGAAGCTTTTTATTTTTTCAAAGACATTTTGTCCTACAAAACACGATCCAATTTTTTTATGTATAGGAGGTCGGGGTGTTAGCGCAGGTAAAATTTTGATCGCTTGTAAATTAAAGAATTTTTGAGATAAAAACTGGATTTTTCTTGTTATCTGTTGCTTATTTTATATATTTTCATGCTCCAAATGCAAAACTTTGCAAAGTTCTTTTTTTGTTTTGTTTATCAATCATAAATGAAAAATCTGTATTTGCGCTATTACCCCTACTTATCGAGGTAATAGCGCAGCACAGTAACGCTATTGCCCCATATGACAAAGTAACAAGTAGCAATAGATTTTATAAATAAAACAAAACATTTTCAAAATTAAATTCTTTATTTCCGAAAAAACAGTCGACAATTAATAAAACCTTACTAATAAAACTAATTATTGGATTTTTTGCCGATAAACAGAGAAAAATATACTAATAACTCAATTTGTTTGACGTTACATTTTGGACAGCTTTTCTAACTCCCATTGGCTTCTAATGTTCTTTTTCTTGTCCGTTCGTGGCATCTGAAATAAATTACTTTGAACTACTTACGTATCGAGGTAATAGCGCATATGCGCTAATGCCCCGACACGATAACTACGCTATTTCCCCGATTACCTCATTTTTTTGAAAAGCTGCCAACTGCAATCTGATACAAAACTCTGACAAAAAATAGGTTTGATTCTGGACCACAAGGACATAAATTAATTGTAACTAGGATTGCACTAAATTTAGAAGGGTACTTACCACTAAATTACAGAAGAAAATATCACTAAAAAAAAACTTTTCTCGTGTAGTTTTACAAATAATTTTTTTAATCCTAAACGATCGTGTTCACATTAACAATTGCTAATGCATTGATCGGTATTCCTCAATACCCCTCCTTGGGCAATAAAGCTATGTTGCCAAGAGTCACAGGTGTTCAAAAAATTGAATCTGCGCTATTTCCCGGACTGCGCTAATACCCCAACCTCCCCTACCTAGGTACGTAAAATAGATACTTTATTTATTTTCAATGGAAACTAATGGCACAGCATGCGTTGTGCCTATTATTTTATAAACCAATAATAAAAAACAAAACAAATACACAAGGTGACAAAGAGGTTCTGTTGTCAATAGGTTTTTTTGGAAACGCTGAACAACCTACATCAGCTGCTGCTCCAACGGTTCGGGTTTTTCGAAAACGCCTAATTATGACATCACGAATTGACTGGTGGCGCCATCTTCGAAAAAAAGCCTGAACTATATTTGCCAAAATATCTGTAATTTTATTCCAAAATCGGTTTTAGACTACAAAAAAAAACGGCATATCAGAATCTGCTGAAATTTGGCATAAACATTCTTTGATCGATTATCTAGAGAATAGTGCTCTTATTTTTTCAATTTCCACCGTGGATTTTTCTATTTTTGGGAAATAGTTCATTTCCACAATATAGGCCAAAAAAAAATTAGAAATCTGGAAAATCTAACTGCACTATTCTCTAGATAATCGATCAAGGAATGTTTATGCCAAGTTTCAGCAAATTCTGATGTGCGTTTTTTTTTTTGTAGTCTAAAACCGATTTCTGTATTTTGTATCGTGTGCATGGAAGCGATGTTGCCCCCTTAAACCTCTTTCAAAAAACTCAAAGTCGGCGGAATTAAATGTTTAATAAAAATGTTCGATTTTTGGAAGTTTTCAATATATTGGAACCTCAAGAAATATTTTTAAAGTGAAAACTTATTTGGGCGCGTTCAGCACACTTTTATGTGGGTACTGAATGAAACTGAGCCGTCACGCTCGGCTATGTAACGCTCATTTGAGTCATTTGCCGACTGTACCGGCTCGTGTCGACTTTAGCCAAGCGAGAGAGAGAAACAGTCATCACATTTTATTTAGAGTAATTTGTGACAATAATCTTTTTTTTTTTTCCTTTGATCGTAATTTAATAAATGTAATATACGCGTATGCTCAATGTAAATGTGACAGAAATTTCTTTTTTTTATGCAGGTATAATCTAAAGAATATTTTCACCTACTAGTGTGCGATAAAGTTAACTTTACAGCATAGTATGCGTTAAAGTAGAATACAAAGTGTGCGGTAAAGTGCACTTTACCGCATAGTGTGCGATAAAGTAGAATTTGATATTTATGATAAAAAATTCTCTCTTTTCCAGAAAATGGATTTTTGATCATTTCTAAATCTTATCTAATTTCATTAATCAATTTTATAAATGCCTTTTTTCGGAGATGTAGATGCTCATAGGTAAAATTTTGTACCTAACACATGCGGAAAGTGCCTTTACCGCCCTTAACGGCTTGACCGAACTCCGCTTCGCGTCGTTCGTTCAACTGCAGTTGCGTGCGGTAAAGTATCACTTTCCGCATTTGTTAGGTAAATAACTATTAGCAAATAGATTCAATTCAAAACTATTCATATGAATTCAAATTTATCTATTCTATTATCTTTCAGGTCTTTAAGTTTCCCTGCTTGGATAAAATGTTGTTTGTGTACCGTAAACTGTGGTGACTTTGCCAGCTTTTGGGAGTTTTTCATTGATAACATGAAATACTTCAGCTGTAGTGCCTGGTGTATGATATATGTCAAATTTAGACATGTTTACTATACTTAATCAGTTATTTTTTCAAGTCAGTAATAGACCGTGAGATAGGGCCTGTTTAGTGGAGTCATTTTTTTTTGTCTGGCATTTTGAGGGATGAATGTGGCTAGTTAGCTGATGAAAATATAGGTGGTCTTAGTGCTTGCCACCTGTTCCAAAATTTGCAGAAGAAAAAAATTGATTTACATGAGGATATTTTTTTTAATGATCTCAAATTTTTTGGCTTCTAAATAAAAGATTGACATTGATAAATAATTCACCCATAAAAAATACTAGATGCTTTTCAATAGCTTAAAAAGTGGGGATGAGTGTCAACTTGCAACTGAAAAGAAAAGAACCTTCCGCGTTTACTTTTTGTCTGATAATCGAGAGCATGAAAGGTTTTGTTGTGTAAATATCGCTGAAAAATCGCCAGACGGTAATCCCAACTCGAAGTCGAGTTTTCCGGCGAAACATTCTGTTGACATTTCGAACAGGTGGCAAGCACTAAAACCACCTATAGTCTCATCAGCTAACTAGCCACATTCATCCCTCAAAATGCCAGACAAAAAAAAAATGACTCCACTAAACAGGCCCTATCTCACGGTCTCTAATGTCAAGATTACATATATGGTTGAAAATAAACAACATTAACAATTTGGAAATATACACTTGGCAACAATGTGTTTCATTATGGTAAATATATACCTGAAGTTGAAATTTGTTCTGGGATGCAATTCGGATGTTAGGCGGATGCAATTCGGACACCTAAAATATGACCTGAGCTACCCGGGATGCAATTGACCGGCGGCGGTTGGGGCCGGCGGTTGGTACAGCTTGGGAATGTGGACTGTAAAT